ACTCCTATCATCCACACAAACTTTTCCATCTTATCTCCTAACTGGTATGAGATTGATTTAAACGTTGTCAAATATCACTCTCGAAGAACAATTTTATAATTTCACATAAAAATGTGCACATTAACACTCAAGATGTGTACAGCTAAGAAAACACTGGCCAGCAACAGTGACCCTTTCATGAACTTAACTCAGTGTTTTCACAGCGGTTGTCCTACCGTCTTAGGGCTGTAGGAAAAGGCTAGTATTACAGATCCCATTTCATGGGCGGGTAAACCGAGGCACTTAGTTTAATCGACTTGCCCGGGGTGACAATGTTAGCGCTGGAGACAGAAACCAAATGTCTGCCTCTGACTCTGCGCCCAGTTCTTCTGCACTAGACTCTCAGAACTCGCTGGCTAAAAATGAGACCCACTTGAGCACCGCCAGGGTGAATAAAAGCTTCTTGTTTTATTTAGTAGAAGAAGCAGGAGGGGGGAAGACTTACCCACTTGATGCACCTGACTGTATACCAGGCTCCACCAAGAAGGCTTTCCCGGATGCACAAAGCACCCGCCCGTTTGAGCTGAGACCCCGGAGGCACCCCAGACAGCTGGGAAGCGTGAGTGGGACGCACAAAGGCGTCTGAGTGGGCGGGGGCCGCGGGCCAGGACACCACTTGCGCAGCCCACGGGCCGGAGAACGCTGCGCCGCCGCACGCACCTGCTGGAGCCGCCTCAGCCCCGCGCGCTCGGGACGACCCGGGCCTCCGGAGCCCTGGCCACGCTAGGCCGGGGCGGGGTCCCGCGGGACATAGAGCGCCCGCCCTCCTCCGAGCTCTGCAAACGGCGTCACCTGTACTGCGAGTCCCGGACAGAGTCGCGTGTACGCGGCGGCTGCGCACGGCCGGGTTTCGGGCGCCTAGTCTTCCGGCCGGGCCCGAGGGCTGTCGCCGGCCAGAGCCGGCCCGCGAGATGCTCGGCGGGGTCGGAGAGCCGTCCCGGAGGTCCAGCTGCCGCGCGCCCGCCCTCCCAGACTGCGGGCTCGGGTTACCGCAGCGCGGCTCCTTAAAGGGGCCGCGGCCGCCCGAGCTCCGGCTCCGAGC